AGATTGTGTCCATTGAGACAATTGGAGTGTAGGGGTATGTGTCGTATTACTACTGGGGTCAAAACAACAGTCAGAAGTACTATATCAAGGTATTATCAGCTATCTTCGGCAATGATTGGACTGTACCGTGGGAACCAGTACACCAATTCTCAAATGGACTACACCATCAAACTCACCTTTAAATTTGCATCAGAATGATATATACAATGTCTGTGCTCAGAGCAATACTTCAGTCTCTACCAGGCTATCTATCTAAATTAACCATTACTATACTCAGATTATGTCAGATCAGGTCAATCAAGATCAGATCTTCGGACTGAGTTAGACCAATCACATGCTTGGACCGATTAGACCGGAAGTCGCGACATGAGAGTTGTGTGAGAAACAACTGCCTGAAGTGGACAAACGCTCAGGCATGGATTGCTGAATCTTTGGTAAATCAACGAGTCAGGGATGACTCGTAATGCGCACATTATTGTATCCCCAGCAAACGTCCAACTTGGTGAAGTAGCAGGCTCCCTTGAGCTTGTCGAGAAGCTCTTGAATGAGCGGTAGCGGGTAGCGATTCTTCACGGTCATCTCGTTGAGCTTGCGGTAGTCCTGAATGGGACATAAAGAGCCGTTTTGCGCATGTGAATGCCGTTTTGCCGAACAAAGTCCTCATCGATACAGGAGCCAGTATAGCCACTGTCGAGTAAGGCGTTAACCGGGATTTGACGACGTGGAAATTCCATGGTGTGGAGGACTGCGGGCAAGGTGGTCTGCTGGCGTTGACCAGAAGATCAGACGTAATGCATGGGCGAACGTAGTTCACAGAGCGCTTGCACAACAGTGTCGTCGTCCATGCCATTGAGTGTGGCCAGCATCGCATGCGTTGCCTCGCAATAGCGTCGGTTATGCGTCCAGTTGCGCAGAATGGCGATTGCAGACTCTGGCTTGTCCTCTTGGAGACGGCAAGCAGCCCATAGAGCGGAGCGTGGTGCGGCGTAGCGATTGCCTCCCCTCCGAGTATGAGGGAGGTCTTGATCCATTGACTTGGACACGGTTTGGGGTTCACATGGGACAAATTCTGCAACATCATTATCATTATCATTATGCGCGGGTGTGAATAAAGCGACGGCCGGAGTATCGTCCGGCTCTGGTACATGAGGAGCAGGGGTGACGCCCTGCG